GTGGAAATCCCCTCAAGACAGACCCGGGAGAATTATTAGGAATCAAATATACTACATTTTAATAAATAAGATTCCGAAACAGCTTTACATCTCTAAAGACATCCTGGTGCAGACTTGGAGACAGACCACGTTCCTCTGGTGGGAGTATTTCGAGTCAAACTCAAAACAGTGCAGAAAAGAAAAGCACAATTCCTATGTATGCTGAAAGACCTTGATACGAGGATAAGAGTCCAAGTCACGTTAAACGAGCAAGTGACTGCAATTAGAGACGAATCTAACGAAGAACAAACGATCAAACATATTACAGAAATAGTGCAAAATGTAAAGGATAAACACACAAAGACAGATAGATTAATTGAAGAAAAAATCATGGATGACAGATGAGATCCTGAAACTAATGGAGAGAAGCCAAAAATTACCAAGACAAATATGAAATCATAAATATATTAATAAGAACGAAAACCAGAGAAGCGAAAAAAAAAAAGAAGCAAGGGAAGGAAGATGAGATGGGTAGACGACATAAAAAGAATAGCTGGAACAAATTGGAAGTATGTTGCTCAGGATAGAGATCGATGGAAGGAGCTAGGAGAGGCTTATGTCCAACAACGGACGATAGAAGACTAAGCTGAAGAAGAAGATGAAGATCCTACGATAGAGATGAAATACTTTTCTTTTCTGGCCTTTGTTGTGTTTCGTCGCCTTTTTTATCCCTTCTATCTACAATTTTCAACTTTCCATTTAGTTTTCTAGTTATGTTATTGGTTCATGTATGCATTACACCCAGCTATGTGCATCTATTTCAGTTCCAAATTTCAAATTCACATTCCTTATCCATATTTGAAATTTGCAATTAAGCCTTTGCAAATTTCCCCCAACTTATTGTGCTGTGGAATACGGTCAAGAACTGTGGATGTGAAATCTAAATTTGAAGTATAGATGTGAACTATGGACGTGAAATATGAGCCCCATAGGATTATAGAACAAATATAACGTGTTTTATTCTATTAAAGAGATGAAATGTCCTTCTTTTCTGGTTTTTGTCGCCTTTTTTGTCACTTCTATTTACAATTTTCAACTTAACATTTAGTTTTCTACACAGTTATGTTACTGGTTCGTGTATGCTCCTGCGCTGCATTATGTTATCTTTTTATTTCGTTTCATTTGTTTATTTAATGTAAAAATATCTAATTGATCATTTGATTTATCATTTAAGTCTTTGTTTGTCAGTACGTCAAAACAGAACATACAAAATAAAAGGTGTTATGAAATTTAGATGTGAAATACATATAAGGCCTTTATTTCACATACGTGAACGTATTAAAATCGTAATATGTAGATGTTAAATAGAGATCTGAAAATGTTTAATGAAATATGAACGTGAAACAAATTCCTGCTGAGCTATGGGGCGACTGTATGTAAAATATGGTTAAGAAACTTGGAACACAAATGTAGACGTGAAATCTAGATTTGGAGTATAGTATAGATGTGAAATATATATTGATCTAGAAATTCCTAGTTCACCGTTTTCACTTTCCTCTGTTTTATATTATACAACTCCAGGTTCAGTAACACTCGACTCTAGCTGGTTTTAATCATTGCTTTATTTCCATCTGTTTTTGTCAAGCGATTTAAGCAAAAACGTAAATATAAATTGAACAAATATGATCTTCTTTTTTGAAACCTAACAAAAACAAGTCAAACCCGGAATCTTATAGACCAATCCTAACATCTTCCTTATGTAAATTACTAGAAAAAGTTTTAAATAGACGGTTACAATTCTTTTTAGAATCAAAAAATCTAATAGTTAATCAGCAAAGCGGCTTTAGGAAAAATTAAGCACAACTGACAATTTAGTGTCGCTAGAATCGGCACTTAATGAGGCATTTGCAACTAATCGACAAATTATAGCTGCCTTCTTTGATATAATTAAAAATTATAGTACTAGATGGAAATATGATATTATTGTTAAATTATACAGCATTGGGACATAGATGGAAATTTTCTAGCATTCGTCAAAAATTTTTTAGATGACAGAAATTTCCGAGTTAAATCAAATCAGGAACTTTCAGAATACTATACACAAGAAAATGGCATATCACAAGGATCTACATTTAGTTGCAATTAACGATATCGAGAACAGTATCCGAAACCCTGTTAAAGCAATCCTATATGCAGATGACCTCGTAATCTATATTTCTCAAAACAATCTTAATATGGCATCCAACATTATTCAACTTTCTATTAATTCCCTACAAGAATGGTCTAAAACAACAGGACTGAAATTTTCTACGGTTTAAACCAAAGTAATGTGCTTTTCCCGAACACATCAAATTGTTGCAAATCTTCCAAAATTAACACTGTGTGATCAAGTTTTAGAAAACGTTGAGGAACTTAGATTTCTAGATATGATTTTTGATTCAAAACTTACTTGGAACACACACATACTATTACTTACTAAAAATAATGTTTACAAAACATAAATATTTTTAAAGTACTAGCAAATCAGGGGATCAAGTGTATATAATTCAGCTAAGGACTCAACATTAAAAAAATAGATATTCTATAAAATACCGCACTAAAGGGTTTGCAACTAGACGAATTAAACGATAAAATAACAACAGAACTACTAGAAGCAGGCCTGAAGATTGCTAATAAACAAAAGCGAAAACAAAAAAATTAGCGCTAAATCACAAGATATGCTAAAAAAACGACGACAACTACTGAATGATAACAAAAGAAATACAGTGGAGTATACCGAACTGAATAAAACCATAAGAAAACAGATAAAGGAAGATTTAAAAAAATACCAAGAAGACCGCATTAAGAAAATCATAGAGAAGAACAAAAGTTTAAAAACAATGAAGACAAATATAGGAAAAAGAAAACCAATCATGCTTAAAGCTGAGAACAATGAAGAAAGAGATCTAGGAGAAATAGTAAAAATCACAGAAAGATATTACACAGACCTATACAGTTCTAAAAATGACCCACCACTATCATCTAAACAGAATCTCTCGAGAAAAATACAAAATGTTGGCTCAGAGGTATTACCAGAAATAACTGAAGATGAAATCGAAAACTCCATAAACGACATGAAAAGAAATAAAGCGGCAGGTGAGGACAAAATACTGGCGGAACTGCTAAAAGAAGGAGGAGACACGATAAAAAAATGCTAAAAATACTGTTCAACAAATGTCTGTTTGAAGGTAAAATACCTAAACAATGGAGAAATGCCAACACAATCTTAATACATAAGAAAGGAGATCGAACAGACCTAAACAACTACCGTCCTATTTCTCTTTTGTCACAACTATATAAAACCTTCACAAGAATAATAAACAACCGACTAACCTATAAACTTGATAACTACCAACCAGTGGAACAGGCCGGATTCAGGAAAGGATACAGCACAATCGACCATCTACATGCGCTTAAAATCTTAATTGAGAAAACCAATGAATACAACCTTCCGCTGTACTTAGCATTCGTAGATTATGAAAAGGCTTTCGACAGCATTGAACACTGGGCGGTTGAAGAAGCTCTGGTCAATAGTAGAATAGATTCAAGATACCGACAATTGATACATGATATTTACCAAAACGCAACCATGACCGTAATTCTGGACGACAAATTAATAACGGATAATATAAAAATTAAACGAGGAGTCCGACAAGGCGATATAATTTCACCTAAACTGTTTACCTTGACCCTCGAAGACATAATAAAATCAACAGATTGGGAAAACAGAGGAATATGTATTAACGGAAAATACCTAAATCACCTTAGATATGCGGATGATATACTCCTGATCTCCTCAGAGCGACAAGAACTGGAATTAATGCTGAATGAACTTCATGAAAAATCACTGCAAAAAGGCCTAAAAATTAACTTCAACAAAACAAAAGTAATGACAAACACGGAAGACCAAGAGGCAATAAAAATAAAAACAGCAAAAATAGAACAGGTAAATGAGTATATCTATCTAGGACAAGCAATCAGAGCTAACAGAGAAAATCAAACAGCCGAAATATCGAGGCGAGTATAATACCGAGAGAACTGGGGGAGACCTATATCCAACAATGGAAGGATAGAGAATAGGTTCCAAAAAAAACCGCACTAAGACTAGCTCCAAGAGCCTACAGAACCAGTCCAGTTGAAAGTGTTTATGTCGAAGCAAATGAATCTCCACTTTCTATTAGAAGATTATGTCTCAGTTTACAATACGCAAGCAAGCTATCAACTAACCCAAACGACCCGGCCTACCCCTATGCTTGCTTCACATATTACCATTCTAATTTCAATCAAAATCCTAATCTTCGACCATCATTTAGCAAAATAATTAGCAACTTCACATTTCCAGATATTGTGCATACCAACATTGATTATGCTCCCCCTTGGACTATACAAATTCCATATTGTAACAGATCTGTCAACTTATACTAAGGACAATAGCCCTTCATCTCTTTTTGTCCCATACTTCTACAATTTTAAAAATAAATATTCATCTTGTCAACTAGTTTATACCGATGCATCAAAATCATCCGAATTGGAAACAGTAAGATCTGCCATTGTCACAGAGGATTCTGTGCTCAAGTTTCCAATACCTAAGGACTACTCAATATATTCTGCTGAACTTTTTGCGATATCCAAGGCACTACAACAAACTCTTGACTTGAACAAAATCGACCTGAAGACATGACTAATATTCACAGATTTCTTAAGTGCAATCCAGGAAATTCAGAAAATATATCCGAATCATCCGATTTTAGAACAGATTAAAAAAGCCCTTGTGACTCTACAAAATAATCATAAACAACTACATATTATGTGGATACCATCTCATGTGGGGATACCAGAAAATGAGATAGCTGATCAAATGGCCAAAGAAGCTTGTAAAATGGAGAGATCCGATGATAGAACTAACCAAATTCCTCATTCAGACATGAAAAAATGTCTCAATGAGTACACAAACAACTTAGGTTACGAAGATGGCAACTCTTACCAAATAATAAATTGCGGCAAGCAAACCCAGATCTATCAGCGAAAATACCAATTTTAGTAAAGCGAAGGGACCAGGTTATACTAAATCGTATCCGAATAGGACATACCAGACTAACGCACGAACACCTACTAAGGAAGGAACCTCCTAGAATATGCTACTCCTGTGATACCAATATAACTGTAGGCCCCATTGTTATAGACTGTCCATTATATCAAATGGAAAGACAAGCTACTGGACTACCAAGTGATATAAAGTGCGCTTTAGACAGCGCGGATTTTAACAAAATCATTAGGTTTTTAAAGAAAAGGAAATTGTATAATCAAATATAAGTGATGCTTCAAGAAAAATTCTAAATTATAATCAACTTTGTAAAAACTTTATAGTTTATATTTTATATTAATAATTATAATATATTATAGTCTATATTGTACCAGAGCTAATAACTTACTATGGTTGATGCGGTTGATATGGTTGATCCAATAGAAAAATATGATCTTGACTAATTAAGTATTAAAAATGTAAAACTTAAAAGAATTGAGAACTGTTAGCAGATAAGGCAATTCAGAAGACGCTTTTAACGATTCATAAAAGTTTTTTAGACAAAATATATGTTTCCATAAAACTGGATCATTTATAATATATTATTATCAGTCAAAGATACTTCATAGTGTGGGGAAAATATCATAGCTCTCGGACTACTCCGCTAGGCGTACAACATTGCCATTTTCGCACTATTTCCGTTAATCTCGCCACTTAATTCCCCTTTAACAATAACCTAGCTAAAACACTAGCGGTATCTTTTAATAAACTGTCAAATATTTCGTTCGTTATTTGATCTTTCACCAACAACTCGTCCTTTTGGTAGTTCGTAAATTGGGCTTCTTCTTGCTGACACTCCAATACCAAAATATCGTAGACGTGGTCGCTCTTCTTCCGGTTCCATTTGATGTTGACGCTTTCCGTTTTCGGTGGTTTCTGGTAGCCGAAAATCTCCTTGAGCTGTTGTATCATGTGAAGTTTTAGGCTTTCTGTATCGAATGGTTTGACAGGCGAAAAGTCTGCTTTCTTGGGAACGCGCAACCAAGACGGCGAATGATCTTCTTCGAATTGGCTGAAACAAAATAATATAATCAATGAAATATAGAAAAGTTACTTTCACAATACAAGTATTGGGCCTTTCGTAAGTTCGATGGCCAAATTCTGGAAACTACACCAAGGATAATAATACTATTTTCTATTCAGGCAAAAGCACTGGAGAACACAGCCATGGTGTTGGTATTATTATCAACAATAATTTAAAAGAGTTTATAACAAATTTCATTCCCTTTAACGAACGTATGATGCTACTTCAGCTGAAAGCCAAACCACTAAACATAAATCTAATCCAAGTGTATTATGGGCGACTTTATTGTTAAAGTCGGTCGAGGAAAAACTGGAAATATTGTAGGAAATTTTGGGTTAGGCAAAAAGAAACGAAAGAGGTGATAGACTAGTCCAGTACTGCCAGGAGAAAGAATTAGTCATAACAAATACATACTACGACCTATCCTATCCTCACGAAGATTGTACACGTGTACTTCTCTAAAAGATAACACCAACAATATAATCAGAAACCAAATAAATTTTATAATGATTAACAAAAGGTTTCGTAATGGAGTACAAAGTGCAAAAACCTATCCAACCGCAGATGCAGATACGGACCATAATATATTACTAGTAAACGTCAACATTAAACTCCGGAAACCGGAGGAAAAAGTTAAAACCACCAAAATAAACATCAAAACCCTAAAAAACGACAACTGCCAACAGCAACTAAACGCAGAGATAAATAAATTAACTGAAGGAAGCGTGGAATGGGCAGATGAAAAAAGCCATACTAATATCACGAAAAGAGGTCCTAGGCGAAGAAGAGAAAACCACTAAAAAAGACTGGATGACACCGGAAATAGTTGAGCTAATAACTGAAAAAAGAAAATACAAAAATTAAGATGGAAATAAATATAAATCCATCAAGAATAAAATCAAATATGAAATCAGAAAGGCTAAGGAGGAATGGATGAACAAGGAATGTCAGGAACTGGAAGAACTCAGTAACAAACATCAAACACCTCAGACTTACATAAAAAAATGAAAGAACTTACAGGCAACACCAGACAAAGAAGAACACTCATAACAAGAGATAATAATGAATGAATACTTACTGAAGAGAGCAAAATAAAGGAAGTATGGGAACAATATATATAGCCAGGTTCTATACATATACTTGGCACTTGGAATATCGCATCGTGGAACAAACGGGAATAGGAAATTGTGCAGGAATTGGAGCCCCATAAAATCGATATATGTGCCCTAAACGAAACAAAATAGAAAGGGAAAGGAATTACCAATAGAAACAAATTTATATTCCTGTACTGCGGAGTAGATAAAAGCAAACGAGCTCAGGCAGGACTAGGCCTCTTAATGCACAATAAATATAGTAACAATATTCAAGAAATCAGATACATCAACGAACACATGATGCTGGTTTGCCTTAAACTTCACCAGACGATACTTAATATTATCCCCGTATATGCACGGATAACAACAAAAACAAGGAAGGCAAAGATGCTTTTTATGAGCAGCTTCAAGATCAACTGGACACCACAATAGCCGGTAGTAAAACAATAATTCTCGGCGACCTAAACGCCAGAGTAGGCAACACACCGTGGCTGGAGTTACATAAAGATTTTACGAAGAAATGCTTAACGACAACGGTGAAAGGTTTTCTAGAACTTTGTTTAATGAATAACCTCCGAATTAGCAACACATACTTTGACCACCCAATACAACATAAGATCACCTGGTCAGATACAAGAAGACGTAACTCTATGATTGACATTATAACAAACAGACAAATACACCCCAAGAATATAATAGATGTGCGCCTCTATCTTCTGCCAATGTAGGATCGGACCATGGCATGGTACTAGGAAAAATAAACATATCAATTACCACACAAGGCAAGCGAAATCCAAAAGTAGAAGAAAAGTTAAACATAGGAAGCTTAGAAGAAGAAGGGACACAAAACTTGTATAGAAACAGACTAACAGAAAAGCTAAACAGCCATAACCTAGGACTAAAAAGAATATAGAAGAAACCTGGAAAATTATTAAAAAATGTATCCTACAAGCAGCGGAAGAAGCTTTAGGTAAAAGAAAAGACAGAAATAAACGGGAATACAAAACTCCATGAATGACAAAAAACAGAAATGAATGAATTTGTATGCATAGATAATATTACGGAGGAACAATGGACTGAGCATTTCATCAAAGAGTATAGACGCTTATAGAAGAATCTTTCACTGTTATGTTTGAAAGTTTGCAAAAGATGATCGCACGTTATGAAAAATAATGAGAGGGTGGATCGAGAAGGGAGCGGTCATGTCAACGCTATTATTGCTTTTAAAATATGAAAGAGTGGGGCAACAAATGCAACAGATATTTTTATGTATAATGCCAGAGAACTACGAACACATAATGCCGCGTGGCCGTAGAATAGGATTAAATTTTTGCGTTTTATAATATTTTTTAAAGAAAATAATAATATTTTAACTTTTAATAAATGAATCCTATTAGAAAAAATATTATGATTCGAATTTTTAATTTAAATAGGTACAAATCTACAAATAATATTATAGTTAATAAGAAGAACTCTCTTCTTATTAACTATAAAATTAATTCAACCAATAAAGTCATCAATCACCGGAATTAAATATTTCCAAATTTTCTAAATTTAATAATTTCTTCTTTGTTTTTAATATAAAATAACAAAATGTAAAACACAACACTGTTTTTTCTGCAGAATAATGGAAACATGTCTAAAAAGCTTAATGAAAAGTCCTGAGAAAATCAAATTTTTGGTTGAATTAACCCAAAAGTTAACGAGATATTTTAAAAATATATTTCGTTAATTTTTGGGCAGAAAAACAGTATAATAAAAATTTATGTGACGGTTTTTCGTTGTGTTGGAACAAACCTATTTTTAATTCAAAGTTATAAAATGTAAAAAATAAATGCTTTGAATATTGTAAATATCATACCTTTTTAAATTTCAAAATTCAAAATTTAACAATTTAATATATTGAAAATAAAGATTTTATTGTGAAAAAAAAAACAAAAAAAGCATGGGATTTTTTTTAAACGTAGATGCAAAGTGCAATAAATTGCTCCGTTCGTACTCCTTTCCCACTTTCCCCTAACTATATCTTTTATGAGATAGTTTAAGCCGACTGCCAGATGTGTTTTAAAGTGTAAACCCTAACCAAATCGTCCATTTGAACTGTTCTTCTATAAGCGTCTATATTCTTTGATTTCATGAAATTATATGAAGAAGGAGAAGAGAACAGAGAAAGAATCGTTAACGAAACTCACGATATAGTACTAATATCAGAAGAAGAGCTACAAGAACGAATAAAAAAAATTTAAAAACAGAAAAGCACCTGGTCCTAATAAGATAAACAATGAACTGCTAGAATATGGAAGAACACTACGCAAATTGCTCCTAAAATGATTCGTCGATATAGTAAATACCGGAGTAGTACCAGCGGAATGGCAGGAAAGTCTCCTGCTACCGATACTTAAAAAGGGAGACTCGAGAAATCCTGAAAATTATAGAGGCATTAGTCAGATGAATAGCACATTAAAATTGTTAACGGCAGTCATAAAAGATAAAATCGAGGAAAAAGCGAACATGGCAGATAAACAACAAGGCTTCCAGAAGAACCGCAACACAATAGACCGTCCGATAATAAGGACAATTAATAAAATTAACAAGAACAACAAACCCAGAGTTATAATGCCAACAGGAGAAACACAATACATATAACTAAAAGAAGGAATCCGCCAAGGAGACTTGCTCAGCCCATTTTTATTCAATACAGTGATGAATTAAATAATCCACGAAGTAAAAAAACGTCACGGATACCACATGGGAGCGCATAAAATCACGATACTATGCTATGCCGATGATGCAGTAGTAATTGCTGATAACGAAGATGGCCTACAAAGGCAACTCCACACCTTCAATATCAAAGCAAACAAACTTAATATGAGAATATCAGTAGAAAAAACTAAATGTATAGTGATCAGTATAGAGCCACGTAGATGCAAACTAGAAATATACGGCAAAATTGTAGAACAAGTAATGAAATTCAATTACCTAGGAGTAGAGATCACTAGTGACAGGGATATAAGAACAGAGACCTCAAGGCAAGCATCAAAAGCGGCAAGAGTAAGCGGTTGAATGAGAAGTGGAAATGAAAGTATACAAGACAACAGTAAGACCAATCTTAACATATGCAGTGGAGACAAGGACCGATACAAGAAAGACGAAACAACAAATCAACAATATTCAAATGAAAGTATTAAGATCAATAGCGGGCATATGATTAAGAGACATGCAAACCAACAGAAGTATACGCGAACAATGCAAAATTCAAAATATTAACAGGTGGATAAAAACAAGAAAAAAAAACTGGAACAAACATGTAAACCGAATGGGATCAGATAGATTAGCAAACATCTGTAAAAACAACAAGCCGTATAGCTGAAGACCCGTTGGAAGGCCGCCGAAAAGGTGGAAAGATAATGTACGTCAACAACGACTGAAACAGAATAAGAAGCAGACAAACAGGAGTACTCTGTGAAACGTTTTACTCCTTATTCTGATAGGATCTTATCAATACAACTACAGTCTAAAAAAGGTATAGTAGATTTTATTCAAGTTTATGCTCCTACGGCAGATAAAGATGACGACGATATCTCGAACTGTTTTACCATGATTTGGAACAAGTCTTAAAATCAATGAAGAAACATCACACTACAATAGTAATGGGTGACTTCAATGCCAAAGTTGGCCAGGGAAGAGTGGATGGATATGTGGGGGAATATGGTCTAGGAAATAGAAATGAACGTGGTGACCGTTTGATACAATTTTGCCAGACGGAAGAATTTGTAATAGCTAATACACTTTTTAAGCTACCAAAAAGAAGATTGTATACATGGAAATCTCCCGGTGATACAACGAATAGAATAATCCGAAATCAAATTGACTTTGTCCTTATTAGACAAAGATTTCGTAATTCTATACTGTCTGCCAAAACTTACCCTGGAGCAGACATCGGTTCAGACCATTACACCATAGTAGTCACATTACGAACCAAATTAAAACTGGTTAAAAACCCACACAAAGTAAAATTAATATTAAGAGTCTAAGGGAACCACAAACAAAGGAACAAACCGTAAAAACTCTTACTGAAAATCTACGTAATACCCAAGAACTGAATAAAAGTAGCTATAAGATTGATCAGAAATGGGAAAATATAAACGTAGCAATAATTAAAACAGCAAATGAAAACTTAAAACCAAAGAATAGAAAACATAAAGACTGGATAACTGAAGAAATACTACTATTAATGAATGAAACAAAATCATTCAAAACAAAAAATCCAATTAAATATAATGAAACTGACCGATTAATAAAAAAGAGAATAAAAGAAGCTAAGGAGAGAATGTTACATGAGCAGTGCCAAGAACTAGAAGAAATTGAGAAAAAATATGACTTTTTTAACATGCATAAAAGAATTAGAGAATTAACAGGAATGAGAAAAACACTTCAAACTAGGCAACTAAGAGATGAAAGGGGTGCACTTATAACAGATATAAACCAAAAAATGCAGAGATGGACACAATATATAGCACAACTATTTGAAGACAAAGAGAGAACAGAAGCACCAAAAGAATTTAAGGATGATACTGGGCCTGACATTATACGAGAAGAAATTGAATATGCAATGAAACAAGCTAAAGGTGGTAAATCTCCCGGGCCTGATGAAGTTCCTATCGAATTACTTAAAATTGTGAATACTGAATCTATTGATCTTCTTTTGGATCTATTCAATACCATATATAGAACAGGTATAATACCTAAATAATGGCTCCAATCAACATTCATACTGCTTCCCAAAAAAGCCAATGCAAAGGAGTGCAATGAACATCGCACCATAGCCTTAATGAGTCATGTCTTGAAATTGTTTTTAAAAGTAATTCACAATAGAATACATAAGAAATTAGATGAAGGCATAAGTAATACACAAATGGGATTTAGGAAAGGACTGGGAACACGAGATGCACTGTTTGCAGTAAGTGTTCTTTCGCAGAGATGCTTAGATATTAATCAGGAAGTATATGCCTGTTTCATTGATTTTGAGAAGGCATTTGACAGAGTGCAGCATAATCAACTTAAAGAAATTTTATTAAATAAAAACATACACAATAGAGACATTAGAATCATCTGTAACCTCTATCAGAATCAAACAGCAAAAGTGAAAGTTGAAAACGAACTGACTAAGGATATCCAGATTCGCCGTGGGGTCCGCCAAGGGTGTATTTTATCACCCTTGTTATTCAATTTATACAGTGAAGCCATCTCAGAATTAGCGCTTGCCGAGATCAGTGAGGGCCTTATAATAAACGGTGAGCCACTTAATAACATAAGATATGTTGACGACACTGTCCTTCTGGCAGGAACACTAGAAGAACTGCAACACCTTGCTGAACAACTAAATATATATTGCAACGATTATGGACTAAAAATCAATTTGAAGAAAACCAAGTTCATGGTATTTACAAAAACACAAAACATCAAAGTTAAGCAAGTACTAGATAATACAGAAATTGAACAAATATCTTCGTACATATACCTCGGAGCATGGATCACAGAAGATAATGATCAGACAAAAGAAATAAGATGCCGCATTGAAATTGCGCGGTCAACTTTTAATAGAATGAGAAAACTTTTTTGTAATCGCGATATCAATATATCGCTCCGGATAAGAATGCTTTGATGTTATATTTTCTCTACCCTTTTGTATGGAGTTGAAGTTTGGACACTTAAAAAATCCAACATTAAAAACCTAGAAGCATTCGAAATGTGGTGTTACCGACGCATTTTGAAAATATCATGGATGGATCGCAAAACAAACGAACAAGTTCTCGAACAACTAGGAAAACAATGCGAAGTTTTAAATTCCATAAAAATCAGGAAATTGGAATACTTGGGGCACATCATGAGAGGTGAAAAGTACGAATTACTAAGGAATATAATGCAGGGTAAAATCAAAGGTAGAAGAAGCGTAGGAAGACGTAAAATCTCGTGGCTACGCAATCTCCGTGAGTGGTTTGGATGCAGTTCAATTAAACTATTCAGGCGAGTTACCAATCAAATTATAATTGCCAGAATGATTTCCAATCTCCGATAGGAGTGGAACTTGAAGAAGAAACAGGAGTAATCCTAGTCGCACGAAGAAGAAGAAGTTCGTAAACTTTTGTTATCTAAAGCTGAACTCTTATCTTTCAAATAGTTCTTTTTAAATTTCCTATTGTTTATAAACATATTTTGTTCATTGCATATTTTTATCACTAAATTCATCAAAAATAGTTGTTAGGTACCTATCACGAGTGCCATTGAAAAATCGGTAGTTCCCTGGTCTAACAGGAGCTAGATCAAGCTTGATGAAGACAAAGAGAAAACTAAGAAAATATAGACTTTGATATTTGAAAACCTATTAAAAATATATTTATAAAAATTAAACAAATTATGAATTATAGCTTACCTGTAATGCTTTCTTGCGATGTCTTTACACAAATCAAACACGAATTTGTAGCAATCCTTCGATATATTCTTGGAAATCAGACTTAACGTGTTATTAGAGATGTTAACATTAACCAAATTATTCGACAAATACGCCTTGTGCAGGATTTTCGCCGAATACATTGTAATTTCTTCGATTTCCTCCGCAGTAGGAATAATCGTCGGTACAGAGGGTTGTGTTAAAGACGTGGGTGGTGTGTACGGAGGTGGGGGTTTGTTGGGGATTTCCCTGATGTACATCACAGGCATTTGCTCCTTCTGTAGTTGCTCCGTTATAGCCTTCATCTGGAAAAATGATACTATTAGTAACAAAAGATTATCTGGTAAGTTGTTTACTTACCTCTTCCTCCACTGCCAACTGTTTTCGTAAGATTTCTTCAGCTTCGCTGACAAATATGCTAGATACCAATTTGTTCTCTTCTACTGGACTAGATGGGGCTAAAAATATTTAATATTTATATAGTTATGCAGAGGATAACAAAAACAGCAAATTAAACCAACTATATATTAAGTAGGACCAAAAATAGTTCGGTTGAAATTAAAATATAGTTTGCTAATAATATAATAAAAGTCAAAGAACGGAATGCCCTTGCACAAAAAAAATACTCAACCCTCTTAGATAAAATAGCTACCTGGAATATAAGAAGTATGTATCAGCCTGGAAAACTACATAATGTTATTAAAGAGAAAGAGAGGCTAAATATAAATATACTTGGGGTTAGCGATGTACAATGGTCAGGAAATGGAGAGATATCAATAAATAACCACAATATTTATTACACTGGAGGAGATAAAACTGATCATCGATACGGAGTAGCTTTCATCATAAACAACACTATTAGAAAATCAGTGCTAGGTGTGATTCAAATCTCAGAAAGAATAATAATGCTAAAAATTCAAGCACGGAACTGTAATATTAATATGATAAAGTCTATGTTCCCACAGCTGATAAGACCGAAGATGAGATCGAAAAGTTTTATTCAGAATTCCACAATACAATCAAGTTACCAAAAACTAGAGATATTACTTACATTTTAGTAGACTTTAATGCAAAAATTGGAGTACGTACAGTTGAAAATATAGTTGGACAGTTAGGATTAGGAACTAGAAACGGGAGAGGAGGAAGGCTCACAGAATTTTGCCAAAAGAAGAATATGGTAATTGCCAATACTTGGTTTCAGCTTCCTAAGAGAAGACTATATCCATGGACGTCTCCTCCACATACAGAAAACCACATTGTCAGAAAATTGATAGACCTTATACTCGTAAACAGCAGATATAAAAACAGCAAGGACACATAAAAGACAAAACTGAAGAACTACTAATAGATTTACCAGAGAAATTAAGACGTTGGGAGAAGTACTTTAGTGAACTTTTCCAAGATGAAAGGTGAAATGCAGAAAATACAAGAGTTAAATCCTTTATTTAGAGAGGCACAGATCAAAAACTCTAAAGACAATAAGGAAGCTGGATTAGATGAAATGCCAGTAGAACTGTTAAAACTAGTGGAAGAGGATAACTTGGAAGTATTGGCAGATTTATTCAACACGGTGTATGATATAGGAATAATACTACAAGAGTGGCTGAAGTCAGCATTTACAACCATCCCTAAAAAACAAGCAACAAAAGAGTGCTCTGATTATGGAACACTGAGCCTCATAAGTCATACTTTAAAAGTACTGTTGAAAGTAATACATAAGAGAATTTACGAAAGGCTAGAGGAGGATATTAGCGAGACATAGTTCGGGTTCCGAAATGGAATGGGTACTCGAGAAGGACTATTTGCCGTCAATATGTTGATTCAGCGATGTCGGGATGTAAACGTTGATCTACACTTGTGCTTCATTGACTACGAAAAAGCTTTCGATAAAGTAAGACATGAAAAACTAATATCAATACTTATGAATAAGCGCATTGACAGTAAAATCATAAATATAGTGCAAACATTATATTGGAACCAAAGTGCCATAGTTCAAATTGATGGGCAACACTCAGAAGAAATGAAGATCTGTAGGGGAGTTAGACAGGGATGTGTTCTATAGCCACTTTTGTTAAACTTATATTCTGAAGAAATTTTCCAATAATATCAAAGCGGGAGTTACCGTTAACAGAAAATTAATTAACAACTTACGATATGCAGACGACACTGTGATCATAGCAACTAGTATAGAAGATCTGCAACATCTTATCGAAAGCTTAAGTATGAATAGTGCTGAGATGGGAATTACTATAAACGCTAAAAAAAACGAAGTACATGCTAATTACAAAAGGACCACAAAATATACATCACCTATTGACAATCAATGATAACGTCATAGAACAAGTAGCAAAATATCAGTTCTTGGGAACTTTGGTCAATGAAATCAATAATCATACTGCAGAAATAAACAAGCGAATAAAGATTACCAGATCAGCATTTATACGAATGAAGCCACTCCTGACGCGCAATAATCTAAATTTGGAGATCAGACTACGTACCATTCGCTGTTATATATTTTCAATATTATTATATATAGCTGAGACTTGAGACATTAAAAAAATAAAATTTAAAAAGAATCGAGGCTTTCGAACTCTGGTTATACCACAGAGTATTAAAAATATCATGGACTGATAGACTTACAAATAAAGAAGTACTGGAGAGGGTTGGTAAAGAAACAAAACTAATCACCACTATACAAACCAGAAAACTGGAATATCTAGGCCACGTGATGAGGGGACCAAAATATGAAATTTTGAGACTCATAATACAGAGAAAGATTCAAGGAAGAAGATCTGTTAACCGAAAGCAGAACTCATGGTTGAACAATCTACGTGATTGGTATCAATGCAGATCGATTGATTTGTTTAGAGCAATAAAATCAAAAATAAAAATAACCATTATGATTACCAACCTCCGTAGAGAGACGGCACTCTAAGAAGAATTTTGTGAAGCAGATAAAATAAAAGATTTCAATTTGCACAAAATTCAAGTGCTTTTTATGATTCTTAGATTACAAGAGTCTAACCCACTTGTTGAAATTGTATTAACTTTACATTTGAAATTAATACATCGAAAATTTCATTCTGAACAAAATTTAAAAAAAAAAATATGAGTTTTGGCCTTCTCTCTTGAACTCGACATCTCGCTTTTGATACTCCGACGTCAAGTTCATATTTATTCCACCAAATATACTATTTCCGCGATAATTTATGCCTTTTTATGTTTTTCAGTTTTGAATATTGGGTCAAAACAGTCCCGCCATTTTGAATATTGAAATTATAACTTCAAATTCAACCCATAAGATTAAAAATACACAATTTGTATTATTATTGGCGTCTCATTTTAAATCCGCCATTTTGTATTGAAATTCTGATAAACTTATATTTATTGAGCTAAAGAATATAAAATACATCATTTTAAAGATAATTTGAGTCTTTTTGAAGAATTTTTGGCCATAATAGGCTCGCCATTTTGAATATTGAAATTATAACCTCAAATAAAAACCCTGAGATTTAAAGTCCCATTTTGAATTTACCAAAAAAAAAAATAAAATATATAATTCTCAATCCAAAACCCGAGACTCAAAATGTACAGAATATACCATCTTGGAAATAAGTTAGAACATTTTTGTATTCTTGGTCCACCAAATTGGATCCATCATTTGAATTCTGGCATTTTGACGCCGGATTCAAGAACAACAATATAGAGAACCTATAAATGTTTAATTTTTGGTTCTAAAATATCCGGTGCAAACATCTGGTCACTTTTACACGAGCATTTTATTACCTTATATTGGAATTTGGCAAATAATTGTTGAATTGTTTAGTAGGAATAGATTGACGAAGGCAATTGTAGAATACAAAACTAGAAAATACATGTATTGTCAGGAAAGACTGCAAAATGGTGGAAAAATGTCTTACCATAAAGAAGTGGGTCATTGGATGGATAGAGAAGATTAGAATACACTCAAATGGGCATCAGTAGACGTAGGGACAATTTTTTATGATGACAATGATCCAAATCCACTAAGTTAATATTAAAATGGCTCACCTCTTTCTGGAGAATTAGCAGGACTGATCAGATCATATGTGGTCACATACAAATCTTGTAATCTTGGGCTTTTGTCTCCCCTAGACAAGCTGGCATCGGCTAAAATCTCAGAAACCCGTTTCTTCACATTCATTTTAGGCGACGAATTCTCGGAATCACTTTGACTCTTCGATTTAACACGTAAGTCTTCAATGTTCTTTTTATTCTTCATCGTTTTTTGATCTTTTGACAACACTACAAGTTCCGATACGTCACTAGAAGATCCTCCAGTTATAGACGATAAAGAATCATGTTCTTTTTCTTCGTAGCAAACTTCTTCCTTGCTAGTAGCAACAGAAGAATCCGAATCTGACTGAGCTTTTCCTATCAGACCATAGCTAAGATTTGAAATTACGTGGGAACTCTTCGAGGTAGTTTCATCTTCGAAATCTTCAGTAATTGAACAGTCTTTATCACTTTTTTCAGTAACTTCTTTTGCTTCTAACTCTTTTGATAATTTTTCAGATTCTTCGATAGGATCTTCCTGGTTTTGAGATAGTTCATCGCTAATATCGTTAACTATAAATGATTCGTTAGATTTGTCAGAAAGTGCTACTTTGCTATCATCACTTTCATCTCCTATAGCATCATCTAGTGCTTTGTAATTATCTTCTACTTCATCGACTACATTTTCAAAAGTTTGTACAACATTTACGTTTAAGAAAACGTCGTCAGTTTCTATGAAGCTAGAATCTTTGTTAACCTTCAGAACTTCCTCAATAGAAACGTTTTTAGCACGTTCCAAATCGTTCACTTCCGTCTCAGCACATTCCAAACCACTCATTTCGGTCTTAGCATGGTCCAAATCGCTCAGTTCGATTTCAGCAGCTTCCAAATCGCTCACTTCAGTTTTAGTACGTTCTAAATCGCTCACTTCAGTTTTAGTACGTTCTAAATCGCTCACTTCAGCTTTAGCACGTTCCAAACCGCTCACTTCGGTTTTAGCCCGTTCCAGATTGATCACTTCGGTTTCAGCAATTTCAAAATCGCTCATTTCGTCTTCAATGTGTTCCATCCCCCTCGTTTTGCTTCCAGCGCGTTCTAACTCGCTCACCAACCTTTCGTTTCGTTCCAATAGGTTTACTTTATTTTCATCAAGTTCTATTTCGCTCGTTTGCGCTTCAGAAAGTTCCAATTCACTCACACCACTTTCAGCACGTTTCAATTCGTCGTCTTGGACTTTAGCACGTTCCAATTCACTCTGATCGCTTTTAACACGTTCCAAATCGCTCGCTTCCACTTTAGCACAGCTTTCGCTTTCAGTATGTTCCAACTCACTCTTAATGAAGTCTTCGAGCGCCGATATATCCTGGAGCACATCACTTTCAGATACTTTGGATAAACTGCCGCTGTCTTTTACCGATGGTATATCTGATTTGCTGATCTCAATCAATTTTTTTAAAGACTGACTCAAGCCATCTTCTATAGACTGGGAGAAGCTGCTGTTTGACTGTATGGGAGATCCTGTCAGTTTTGTATCGTCTTCGTTTTGGGAGTTTAAGTCTGAAGATGCTCTAGATTGTTCTGAAGATATTGTTGATTTTGTTTTGGAGATATATTCCTCGATGCTGGGCTTTTTGAATTCTACAGTTGCTTTCAACTTCGTATCAGATTTATCTTCAGATTTGGATCTAAAAGGTGCTGAAGATATCGATGAACGTACTTCAGAGTTATATTCTGCAGTTTTTGATGCAATAACTTCAGAAGATCTATTTTCTTTCGATTCAATGCTGCTCTCTTCAACTTTGGAACCTGTGATTTCTTCATTTTCTTCTGTCGCAAATATAACATCTTCTACAGAACCTGATAATCGTGATATATTATCTTCTTGAGTGTTTGATATAATAACGTCAGATAATTTTGACACTTTTGATGCAACACTATCTTCTTCATGTTTGAAGTCATTGCTTTTAACAGAACTTGTATTTTCTTCATTTTCTTCTGTCTCAGAGGTTGGCAATTGATATTTAATATTTTCTTCAGATTTGGAAGTACTTAGTTGTGATTTCGACTGATCTTGGTCTATTACGGACTTAACTTCCGAAGAATGTGATATAATTTCTTCATTTCCTGGCATAAAGTCTTCAACTGCTCTTATAGAAATCTCTCGGTCATCACTTTTAGATTTTTGTGAACTATCCTCAGAAATTTCGACACTTTTGATCACTTGATCGTCCGTATCTTCTAGTTCGTTGATAATTTGGCTCAATTTTGACAATATTTCTTCCGATTCGTTCAGACTGTCCTTCAATTGAGCGTTTGCCGAGCAATCTTCGGGAATTGTCTTCACTTCCGGTTCTCCGAGCAACTCAAGGATCTGCTGAGATTGGTTTAGAGTTTCTTTGGAATCTGCTGCATGTGGAACGTCCACACCAGTAACGTCTGCATCTTCGGTAACTACAGAAATGTTTTCTGCGATATTTTCTGTAATTTGTTGTTCAACAGTTTCTTTGTTTGCTAAGGTCTTCAGTTCTACTGATCTAGTTACATGTTTGGATAAATCTGGAGCTGTAGATAGCTTTGAAATATCCGATTGCGTTATTACTTCTTCGTTTTTATTAGCTGAATGTTTAGATATATGAGTTTTTAATTGCTCCGATAAAATGGACGAAGGTTTTAACTTTGAGGACTCTTCCAAGATACTGCTGCTGTTCTTTTCATCTAAGTTTATTTCTTCTAATGAAGGAATCATCTCCGTATCCTTTTCTAACGACGTAATTTTTTCTGAAGTGCTTTCTCTGGATTTTTCCAAACTAGGAACATTTTCTTCGACTGCTTCAACTGAAGTAGTTATTAATTTCTTAGGTGCAGTCATAGACCTGGTTCTGTTCGTTTCTATGACGGATATTCCTGCTTCTGAATCAGTTCTGTCAAATTTGTCGCTGACAATGTCTTCTGCGAGGCTTTCGTCGGATTTCCTGCTGTGTATAATATTAAGAGTCGAAATATCGTCTTGGATCTGGTTGAAATTGTTAATCAGTATATCGATGCTTTGGTCGACGCCATCGACTTCTGTAAGTGGCACAGATTCCTTTTCAAAATCGGACAAATAGTCTTTTTCGGTAGTTGGTTGCGTTGGAATGTTTTCACTCTCACTTAAGTTATCGCTAGTCTTTTTAAACAAAGATTTCGTTCTGATGGAATACCCGCGGGCACTTTTGCAGAAATGCTCCAGATCTAACTGCGACATCGGGTAGATTTTGTCATCGGTGAATTTCTTTTCTTCTATGCCCGTCAAGTTGAGCCATAATTGATTGAGTTGTTTGCCCTTGAAGTTGAATTTCTCCTGAGATTTGGAGCTACTAGGTTTTTGCGAAATAATAGCACTCGCAGTTGATTCTAGGACCGCTATCCTCTTTTCTTCTTCCAACAGCTTTTTGTGCCATTGCAGCAGCTCTTCCGCGGCTTTCCTACGCTTTTTAAGCGCTTCTTCTCGCATCAAAAGCGTCCTGAAAGAAACAACAAGTTAGAAAACTAGCAAATATGAAATGAATATAAATCTGTAATACCTTCATGTGTAATTCATGTATTATTTACATGTTACGACAAATGTAGTTGTCATAAAACTAATAACACGACTAGAACACGAGCGCTGACTAATTTTAAAACATCTATTTCCTCCGTATAGGAAATTTCCTCGGCACAAAACAAACTTTTGGCATTCTTCCAACAGGATATCTAATATTAGGCAGTTTGTTTTTAATCATCATTTCTAAATCTCATAATAACAACCTTAACTACTACACATAATTAAGGAGTTATTTTTAAAACGGCAGAGTCTTTGTGGACAACAGTCGGAACATGAGCGGTACAAATTGACTTTACAGGCGGGTTCGCCGATTATATTTGTAAATACGCGTGAAAGTTTTTTAACAAACTAAAATCCTTATTTCATTTAATTTTCTTTTCTTTATTTTCTTCCATTTAATTTATTTATTATTTTTTTTGCAACATTTCTCCTTATTCTATGAGGATGTAATAGATGAGATAGTGAAAAAATGTAAGAAAACGTTCAAGAAATACTGCATCGGTTGGAACAGAATGCAAATGATAAACGCTGATATGTGTATATTTGCAGACGACATAGTATTAATTGTGGAAACAGTAGAAAAACTGAAATACAACTTAGAGAAATGGAACCTAGAAGCAAGCAAATACAACTTAAACGTAAACAAAGAGAAGACTCAGATAATGAAAATATCAAAGAAACAAGGGACGGAAGATCAACTAGAAATAATGATAGACCAACAAAAAATAATACAGACAAATTCATACAAATATTTAGTAACAGTAATCAACAACAAAGGAGACATCGAGGACGATCTTAACAATAGAATGGTAAACACAGGAAAACTATTCCAAGCACTAAATAGAGGATTCCTTAATAACAAAGAAATATCAACAAAGACCAAGATGACAATATACAAAACAATATATAGACCTACAGTGACATATGGAGCAGAAAATTGGATACTACACAAAAGGCATCAAAGCAGAATTCAGGCAGCAAAAATGAAATACCTCAGAAGAACGATCGGAGTGAAAACAACTGATAGAATCAGAAATGAAGAAATAAGAGAAAGACTAAAAATCAAACCGATTCTCGAATCAATCAAGGAGAAAAAATTGGCATGGTTCGGACATCTAACCCGGATGGACAATAATAGACAAGTAAAAGAGTGTGGGACGCCAAACCAATAGGGAACAACAGAAGAGGAAGACCCATTAAAGAATGGAACAGTGACATCTCGCAGATACTGCAGAGTAAGGGTAAGACTTGGCAGGAAGCAACTCAGACGGCATACAATAGGAAGGAATGGAGAAAGTTTGTCAAGAGCTAGGACACATCAGAAGATTATAAAATATTGTAATATAAAGAATTGTATTATAAACGGCCCAACACCGAAAGGTACAAATGGGTCTACTGATTAAGTAAGTAAGTCTCCTTATTCTAAACTGCGATTAACAGGAACATAAGGCACAAAAACATGAAAAGCTTATATATATATATATATATATATATATATATATATATATATATATATATATATAGATATATATAAAGAAAGCAGAAAAAGGGAACATAAAAATACAAAAAAACGAGAAACTGAAGACAAAAAGAGTTAAAGTTAAGAGGCAAAAGAATTTAAAAAAATAAAGAAAACATGGGATAGAAATAATGGAAGTAGTAATGAAAAGATGTAAAAAACGATGTAAATGAAGAAAAAAGCATCAAGGACAGGACCAGAAAAGTGGTGAAGTACGGGTTAATACGTAAAAACACCTAATAAACATGAAAGTAAGAAAGCAATGGGTCAAAAACAGAAAAAAAAAGGTGAGAAAGACAACAAATTAATTAAGAACTTATTGAAAAATTACGGGGTTTAAGGGGTTATGTTCACGTCGCAGTTAAAATGAGTGACATTTAAATAAACTGTCGTTTATTTGAAGTTTGAACGTTTGAACGTTTATTTGAATCCGTTGAATAGATGGCAGAACGTATAACATATTCTATAGTTTGATTTTCCCGAAATTGAATTCTCTGAACAGCGACATTGTTGCTAGCTATTCCAAGTACTAGAATTTACGATTGGTACCGTTTTCTCTGAATCGGCAGCCTTTTTCAATGTAAGTTGATATTTAGTTATTAGTTAAATTTTCACAAATTCTAATTTTCGGATTGGATCGGATCATTCGATATAATTTTTGTATCCTGTTGTTGTTTATTTACCTTTGAGGTTAAGTTGCTGTTTTTATTTTGAGTGTTATTTTTTTAGTTTTGTAAACATTTTAAATTGTGTGCACGTTTTGTTTCCTAATATTGATTTACTATTTTGATTTAATATTTTTTAACAATTCTAACACTAAAAAGTGTATTTATCCTACTATACATATTTTTAATTAATTTTTTTTATTGGCCTTAAAGTAAATACCCACACAGCCAGACACAATTTTTTAAAAACAGATACACAGGGATTATAACAGAGATTACACTCTTCTCGCCCAAGGGCCGATCAGGGCATTTTTATAAACGATAAAAGGTAGGCCTCGGACAGATAGGTACAGTTCGTCAAAAATAGCTTCTTTCAGTTTAAACTTGAGCGATGCGAAAAATAAGAGACTCAGAGACATTGGTATTCTTGACGAGCTGTATGTATACATTAAGGAAAGACATCAGGTAATTAATTTTAAATGTTTAAATAATCATAATTTAAATAATCATATTTTTTTTTCATTCTTTTTTTGTGTAAAAATTATGAGAATAGGAAAAGCTAATGTAATATAAACAAAGTGATACTAATCTCTATAATCAATAACAAATGCCATTTTATAATAATTTGATAAACATGATACTTCAACAAGAGGCTTTTTGATAATATACCTAAGGGTAAATTCTCACTAATAGATACAAAACGTTCATTCATTTGGAAATATTTTATTACTTATTGTATTTAGACAGCATTCGGACGACAATTCCTAATTCTTTACCTACTCAAAAATATTTATTTCAAACTGATAAAGAAATTTGCAATTATTTGAAATACAACTAATTAATAATCAAAAAGTTATGCTAATTCTCAATTGAATGAAGATTGAGTTACTATTTATTTATAACAACAGTATTTCTAAGAAATGTAAAATATGTAAGTCAGTTGAAAAACGGCGTCACTACAATAACAATTTTTTTTTTATATCGAATGTCAACAGGGCAAGTTTTTTCCTCAGAAAATTTCACATTTTCATCTCATTTCTAATTATTACTCAAGTAATTACAATTTAAATGGGAATAAGCCACAATTAAAGGTTAAAGTTAGTTTATTGACGTTTCAATTTCCACTCGGGAAATCGTTCTCAACGAAATTGAAACGCCAATATTTAAATGTACTGACAAAAATTAATCGATGATTACATAATATTGTTTTGTCTATAAAACTTGAATTTGTTAAAAAGTGAATGAAACTAGAATTGCTTTTTTATAGATAAGCCATAAGCTGGAGCTTACGTAATCTATGTATTACATAAAAACGTATTTGGGGGCTATAGAAAGTTGATTTTAATTAAAAAACAGGAGATAATTTTTAAAAATACATATAAATAGAGATTGAAATGGAATAATGTCAATAAAACCTGAATCCTGAAAAATTCTTCTTGTTTGTATTATAACCTCAGATCTCAATTTTGAAATATGGTGTTCTGATAAACATTAAAGGTGTAATCAATATTATTTTCACTTTGCCTTTCTTTAAGTACAGCTGAATCCGTTACTTTCTCTAAATCCTTTGGTATACACCATTATAATACCACAATGGTGTAAACAAGAAGAATGTTTCAGGATTCAGGAGATAATTTCATGGTGTCGTCGTTACCTAATTACTAATTTGCCTAAAAAAACAGTTGTGGTGATGGATAATGCTCCTGATCATAGCAGGAAATTGGAGAAAATTCCTAACACTGTTCCAATAAAGAAAAAGTAAAAACATGGCTTCTATTGCCAGATATATTTTTTGAAGAAAATTATTTAAAAACAGAACTGTTGGAAGTTCACAATTTGAAAATTCTCCGTTTTCTGTCCTATCACTGTGAGCAAAACCCCATAGATTTGGTATGAAGCGAAGTGAAAAGATATTTTGCCCGCACACAACAAAACATTTTAAAAAGGGACCTATGAGTGATTTTACTCGTACTACCTAGATTTTAAAAGTAGCTGGAGACTAAAAGACATTTTTAAAAAACGTTAAATCCATTTTAAAGGATGTAAGATCGATTTTAGAAGTACCTAGAAAAACTAAAAGTTGAATTAAAAGGTACCTAGAAACGTTTAATTGATTACTGTATTACCTAGAGACTAACATAAGAGGACCGCCTAAGTACTTGTGACTGATATTGGAAGTATCCAGTGATGAAATAGGTCCAGATGCGGTCGTTGCATATGCAGTCAAGGTAATTTTCGTTGCAAAAACGGTCAATTCCAAAATATTTTGGCGGGTAACGTTGCACTTGCGATCAGACATTTTACTTAAAAGCTAGAAATCTAAGAAGGTCGTAAATTAGTAACCACCCGCGTTATTAGCAGGCCCGGTCGACCCTATTGAAATATTTTAATCCACTTATCTATATTTCGAAACAATAGGTAATGAAAACAGTAATGACTAAACCACAATAAACCCCTCATTACGAATTTTTCAAAAGTTTGTATTTGCCTAATTATAAAGGTTGGTAGTTGGAGTTTGAGAGATTGTTTAGTGCAGTACGTAATAACTTTTAATAATGGAAAATTTTGAAGTGATTGAAACCACCAAGGGAAAACCTTCTGCTCTTCACGCTGGATATCAATATCGAAAATATATGAAGAATAAGGAAGATGTTGTAACTTGGGTATGTGAAAAAGAAAGTCACCATAACTGTAAAGGGAGGATGAAGACAAAACTGACGGAATTACACGAACTCA